AATCATAAGAAATCCATCCAACACCAAAGGAGGCTAAACCCTATGATGAAAGAAGTGGTAAAAAAGGAGGTTATTAAGTGGTTGGATGCTGGAATTATTTATCCTATTTCTGATAGCTCATGGGTTGGCCCGGTGCAATGTGTTCCTAAGAAAGGTGGCATGACGGTAATCACTAATGACCAAAACAAGCTCATCCCTACCCGAATAGTTACTGGTTGGCGAATTTGTATGGACTATAGAAAACTCAATGAAGCCACAAGAAAGGATCATTTTCCACTTCCTTTCATTGACCAAATGTTAGATCGATTAGCTGGCAAGGAATTCTTTTGCTTCCTGGATGGTTATTCAGGATAAATCAAATTGCCATACACCTAGATGACCAAGAGAAAACAACATTTACTTGTCCTTATGGCACTTTGCCTTTAGAAGAATGCCATTTGGTCTGTGCAATGCACCTGCTACTTTTCAAAGGTGTATGATGAGCTTATTCTCTGACATGATAGAAGAGAGCATAGAGGTGTTTATGGATGACTTTTCTATATTTAGTGAATCATTTGATAGTTGCTTACTGAACTTAGAGATGGTGTTGAAAAGATGTGAAGAGACACGCCTGGTACTTAATTGGGAAAAAAGTCACTTCATGGTCACTGAGGGAATTGTCTTAGGTCATAAGGTGTCAAAAAAAGGCTCAGAGGTAGATAGAGCAAAGACCTCTGTTATTGAGTAGCTTCCCCCTCCATCAAATGTGAAGGCTATGAGAAGTTTCTTAGGCCACGCTGGCTTTTATCGTCGATTTATCAAGGATTTTTCTAAGATCTCCAAGCCACTCTGTCAGCTACTTGAGAAAGATGCACCCCTCAACTTTGATCAAGATTGTTTGAAAGCTTTTGAAGAGCTTAAGAGATGATTGATATCTGCTCCGATCATTGTTGCTCCTAATTGGTCATTACCGTTTGAGGTGATGTGTGATGCAAGCGACTATGCGGTTGGAGCTGTTCTTGGGCAAAGGAAGGGAAATGTATTTCATCCAATTTACTATGCCAGTAAGACTCTAACAAGAGCTCAGGTAAATTACACCACTATTGAAAAAGAGCTATTGGCTATAGTGTTTGCTTTTGATGAGTTTAGAGCTTACTTGATGGGTGTTAAAATTACTATCTTTACTGATCATGCTGCAATCAAATATCTAATAAGTAAAAAAGAGTCTAAGCCTAGGTTAATTAGATGGATCTTATTGTTGCAAGAATATGACATTCAAATAATTGATAGGAAAGGTTGTGAAAATCATGTTGCTGATCATTTGTCTAGGTTAGAGAATGAGAAAGATGAAAATGAGATTAATGATAGCTTTCCTGATGAACATGTGTTTGTTATTACCTGCACTGAATTGCCTTGGTATGCTGATTATGTGAATTTTCTGGTCTGTGGTGTTCTTCCACCTAATGTCAATTCATATCACAAGAAAAAGTTTTTGCATTATGTGAAGTTATATGTGTGGGATGAACCTTTCTTGTATAAGAGATGTGCTGATCAGGTTTTGAGAAAGTGTGTGCCGCAAAATGAACAATTTGAAATTTTATCTGCTTGCCATGATGCTCCTTACAAAGGCCATTTTAATGGTAACCGTACTGCTTGTAAGATTTTGCAATGTGGATACTATTGGCCTACTCTCTTTAAAGATGCATATGCTTTTGTTTCTTATTGTGATACATGTCAAAGAACAGGTAACATATCAAAAAGGGATGAAATGCCCCAAACAAGTATTCTTGAGGTAGAGTTATTTGATGTTTGGGGAATTGATTTTATGGGGCCTTTTACTTCATCTAGAGGACATCAATATATTCTAGTTGTTGTTGATTATGTGAGTAAGTGGGTTGAGGCTAGGCATGCCATACTAATGATGCTAGTACGATTGTGCAATTTTTGAAAAAGAACATTTTTACTTGTTTTGGCACACCGAAAGCAATCATTAGTAATGGGGGGACTCATTTTAATAACAAATTATTTAAAAGTTTGCTTGCAAAATATGGAGTCACTCATAAAATGGCTTTGGCATACCATCCTCAAACCAATGGCCTATGTGAAGTATCAAATTAATCAGGGAAGTACTAGTTTCTTTCTTTTTATATTTTCTGCAACAGTGAGGACAATGTTTGATCTAAGTGTGGGGGGTGATCTAAGAAATTCAAGGGTTTAAGAATTTTGTTTAACTTGAATAATTTGGAAGGAAAAGAGGTATTTTGCTTTGATTTTGAGACTACGGGAATTTAAATAAGTATATCTTAAGAGCTAGTTGCATGAAGGGAAGTTGATTACATATATTGAAAGTTATGTGATGATGCATTGTTTAGCTTGATTGAGTTGAGTAAGATAGCATAACCTTGTTGGAAGGAATTTTGAGCTTGAACATTCAATTCTAGTGTGATTTTTTTCACTTGTTTCAACTTACTCTTCAGAATTTGTCTTAGTCCTGTTCACAACTACCTTACACATGTGAAATTCTTTAATATGATTGAGGCATTCATATTGCTAGCCAGCTAGACCAAATGGCCGACCATTTAACATATACATCCTTTGTTACCCCTTTGAGCCTGCTAGCCTTTTCTTTCATTCATTATTCATCACATAACACCTTTCATACAAGAATGCATTATTTATTTTATTTCAACCCACCCTACTTGGAGTATTATCATTAATCAATAACATTATGCAGTATTGTATCTTAATGATCATATAAAATGCATGTTAATAGCTAGGGTGTTAAGAAAAAAAATGCCAGAAAAAAAAAAGAAAATGAAGAAAAAAAAGAAAAGCCAAAAAAAAGAAGAGAGAGAAGCAAAAGACCATTCGGAAAAAAAAAGAAAAAAAAGAAAACAAGAGAAAAAAATATGAAAAAAAAGAGGAAAAAAAAACTCTTGCACCCTAATTACTTGATAAGAAGCTCATTTATCACTAAATACTGCATATATTTTTGCACTCCAAGTTAGTTTTCATCAATCCTTTCCATTAAATTCATGCATTCTTGAGAAATTATATCCATAGCCTATGCATTACAAGCCACAAAGTCCTCCTAATTATTGAATGCACATGTAACTGGTGGTAGGGAATTAGAACTACTACAAGCCTATGGTAGAGTAACTGAGCAAGTGAACTGAGTGAAAAAGAACCCCAATGCTAGTAAGTTGAGTGATACACTTTATTTTCTTGAGTGACTATCTTGCTTGAATTCAATCTTATTAAGCTTTGTATCTTAATATGAGTTTCTTTATAGGTGATTGATGACTTGGATTGTCAACTTGGTTCCTAAGTTATGTCTACTTTAATCTTTGAAGTCTTTTAGTCAATTCAATGTGTCTCTCTTCTTAACTACCTTCTTTGCGAGATTAAATTTTTGCCCAGGAGTGCAAAAGTCTAAGTGTGGGGGAATTTGATAATGATTATTTTTATAATTAAATAGGTATTGATTTTGAAATATATTTAGTGAAATCTGTGGATAATTTATACCTATTTAACAATATTTTATTAATGTATCTTCTTTTAAATTAATTATAAGATAAAAGATGATTTTGCATAAAATCTACTCAAATCTTTTATTATTTTTAATGCAGGAGATATAAAATTATTGAGAGAAGAAAATATCACAAATAAAAGATGAGACAAAAAGAAGCAACATATGCAGCAAATAATATATATATATATATATATATATATATATATATATATTCACATCACGTATGAGAATCAAAGGCGTGAAGAGGGGAGAAAAGAAGAAGCCGTGGGTCCCGGTCAAGAATCAAGGAATGAGTCAAATATAATATATTGTATTATATTGATTGAAGGAAACAAGGAACCGTGATATTAAGCACAACATCATGAAATAAGATAACATATTATATTCTGTTGGATATATCCGGATAGATATGTATAGGAGGCGGTGGATTCAATTGAGAGAAGACGCGCAACACTTATAAATAGGAACCAGGGATAGCAGCAAGGGGGTATCTCGACTTCTTCGTGCTATTGTCAGAGGCAGCAAGAGCTGAAGACAGAGAAGAAGCAGCGAGTAGAGAGCAGTGGAGTCCATTCGTAAATCTCTTCACTGTGACGGTAGTGAGGAATTGGGACGAACGGTCTTAGCGGGAACGCGAATTTAGTAGGACAGCAGCAAAGCTTCGATATCTGATTCTTCATTCTTTTCTTCCGGCGACAGCAGCTAAAGAAAGAAGGATTATACACCGTTTTGCTCTCTACTCTTCATCTTTCTCTTCTGTTATTTCATTCTGAATATTTATCTTTCACGTTATGGATTTTATTTTGGCCATGTGTGGCTAGTTCTTTTCTTTAATCTGGAGTAGCTATGAACTTACTTATGGATTAGACTTTTTCTCATTTAATGAATTATGCTTGATGTTAATTTGGTTACTTAATCTTGGTTTAATATATCTATTTAATGTTTGGCCATCATTAAATATGAGTTTGAGCATTAAGGTTAGCCTTGACGAAGGAAATCTTAAGTAGGCCCTAAGATTGAGTAATATGGGCTTAGATTTTTATCTAAGTTGCGAGTAGAATAGAAATATACCTAGGAGCCCCATATAATTGATGAAGAGTGAAATCAATTTATCCTCTTAAGTATTTGAGTTAGACATAACCTTATTACTTAGAAGAGGGTTATAAGTGGATCGAAAGACGTACACTTTTAGCTATAAATACTCTAGATTAACTAAATTAACATTGAGACTAATTAGTTAAATAAAAAGCAAAAGTCTATGAAACTAGTAAGGGATTAGTAACTCTAGGTTGCCTTTAATATTGAATTTTTTTCTATCTTTATTCTTTTTATCCGATCATTCATAATTTAGCTTAATTAACTTAATTGAAAACAGGAACTTCAATGCCTAAACACTATTTTGTCTAATTCTCTATGGGAACGATACTCTATACTTACTCTTTATTACCTGATCGACACGTGCACTTGCGTCATTCACAAATTGTGTGCATCACCCCGTCAAGTTATTATCACTAAAATCTAGTTCCTCCAAATTCAAGAGTTGTCCAAGACTTATAGGAAGAGCACCACTCAAGTGATTAGACCTGACAATAAAGGTTTTCAAGGATGACAGATTTCCCAAAGTCGAAGGAACGGGGCCAGAAAAGAAATTTTCACTGAGATCGAGAAGTTGTAAATGTTCAAGTTGTCCTAACCAGTCGGGAATTGGCCCACTGAGTCTATTGTCCCCCACAGACAATTCTTGTGTTTTCCGGAGGTTCAATAAACCCTCTGGGAACCCCCCTCCGAAATAATTTGAGCGCAGGTTGAGAACAGCGACACCACTAAGATTGAACAACCGGTTGGGAAAGAAGTCACAGCTAAATTCATTACTAGTGAGGATAAGAACCTCAAGCGAAGTAAAATTGATAAACTGGAGAGATGGATTTATGTTTCTAAGCTGACAACTTTCCAAATATAGCTCTGTGAGGGAGGGAAGTAGAGTTGCTAATTGAAGCCAGTCAAGTTCTCCTTGAAGATTTATCCCACTGAAGTCAAGATATTCCAAGAAGGGAACACAAGAAAGCCAATGAAGATTATCAAAGTGAAGATCTTCATTATTGGATAAACTGAGATAATGAAGATTGGAAGAATTTTGGCGTTCAACCAGAGATAGGTTGGTAGAGTTTGTGATATCCACATGATCATTTTGGACAATAGCGCGGAAGTCATGATTGCTCAAATCCAAGTAATTAAGAAACTCAAGCAAAGATAGGTGGAGTTCACCTGTGAGACCGTGTGATCTCGTCTCTCCACAATCACAGCAAAAAGATTGTAAAGGACAAGGGAGACTGAGCTCGATGACTCTGCCGCTGGTGTTGTCACGCCGAACTCCTTCCTATTCACAACAATCTCGCTCGTCGGACCAGGTGGAGAGGATGGCTGACGGATCGACAAGGCTGTGTTTGAAGTTTAGGAGAAGGTGATCGTCTCTTTCATTGCACAGCATCGCGCCTTTGCGTGAAGATTGTTTTTAAGAGCGACGAAAATTTGTACCACTTCTTCACAAATTGGTTCAACTACGTGACTTGAAAAAAGAATTGGTGAAGTGTATTGATCAAGTTGATTAGTATATTTTTTTAATTTATTCATATGGAGCAACCATACTAGGCATTTGTGGACACTAATTCAGTACGCGTGCAGAAGGTAAAGGGTTCAGACCAAACCACCGCTTCTTTCCAAATTGGTTCAAATGGTGAGAAGGTGGATGACAAGATCAATGACGTGGTGACTCACTATAATGGACATGCGGTGGCATGGCAAAGAGGAGGTGGCGATAGGCCGACAGCCAACGAGGGACACATCTTTAATTTATTCAATTATTTTTAAGAACCAAGAAAATTTGCTGCCAACTCAGGTGAAGTTTATCTCTAGTTTTCTATTAGATAACTTTGGTTTTTCCTCCCATATTCTTTTTTAAGAGAAAACAACACTAAAGAAAATGCGAACATTGCTGAGAGAATTTTTGTTCATCTTGATTTTGTGAGGAAAATCCGCGATGAAAACATTGTTTTCTGGAAGGAAAAGAGTATCTAGTGATCAAAAAATCGGGAAAAATACGGGGGGAACTGCATGCACCCACTTTGAAGTACTACAAAGGAGTTTGGCAACCCCTCACAATCACTTTAAAAAAGTATTTTTATACAAGGTGAAATAAAACTCATTTTACATACTTTACATGCCGTAAAATCACTTCAAAAAAACTGTTTGTCCTATTTTACATAAATTAAAAAATGATTTCACACAATGGAAAATTGAAAAGCATATAAAAGTTGTTCCTATTTTCAATTTTGTAAAGCATTTTTTGTTTGCTTTACAAAACATTTGACTAAAAATTAATTATCAAACAAGTTTTTTTATTTTTAATTTTTTCCTGAGAAACCAAAAAATTGTTTGGAAAGGGGAAACTAGACAAGGACTAAGTCTTCTTTCCAACTAGTATATTTATTTGATTAATTTTCTTAGTTTTTTTCTCTATCTGGTTAGTCATCCAGGTGGGTTCATCAATGTCGCAAGAAAATAAAAACAAATATGTGAATATGATTCTAGGTGATGCATTTTTCATATTTAATTTAATGGATAAATTATCTAAACTTTCTTTTGAAATGTATGGAAAAAGGGAGGTTGATAATAGTTTTAAAAAAAGAATGAACCCGTGGTTTATCGTATATTCACGTAGTTTGCTTTTTGTCATATTTTATGCTTCCATTTAATTCGCGTAAGCTTTACTTCCTCGAACTTCACTGTTTGAGTCAAAGTCGCCGCATGGATAAGAATGAAAAGCTATATATTTAATTAGGGCAAGTTAAACGAATAATTAAATGGATGGATGAGATTTTATATATATATATATATATGGGTCAAGACAATTTGTTTTGTCATTTTGATCATTCTACGCCACCTCTGCCATGGTTGTTACCAGTAGTTTTCATATAGTATCAAAGAATACCCACACTGAATTAAAATAGAGCTAGAATAATTTGAAATATAATCACCTTGAAGCAAGCTTTAATCTCTTGGAAGCGTAGCATGAAGAAGATGTTGGAGACAATAACAATCCACTCGAGCCAAGAGTCATTCATTCTCAGAAAGGCTAGGGCAACACACACACGTATATAATTGTGACGATATCAAATTTCTCCATATCAAACTTAAATAAGATTGGATACCTTCAAAAAAATATTTCAAACCTAATACGGTCTATTCGACTTGATCCAGTTCCATTTAATTAAAGTACATAAACAATTACTTAATATGAGTTCAATATATAACTAAAATATGCTCAATAAATTAATACTAATCCACAAAATAATTCCAATATAGACCCCCTGAAAACGAAAGAAATAAAAAGTTAAAAAATGGGTATGTTTAGTCTGACAAAACGATCTCCGTATAGTCATTTAAGTTTATTTATCTGTGAAGATAATAAAATTGAAAATGCGATGCATAATTCTTACCAAACTTGACTATAGTGTCCATTGTATATGTTTAAGAAAAAATTACGATGAGGTTTCAAAAAACGAAATGTAATCATAAACAATTTTTAATAATAAGTGAATATCATGAACCTACTATCATTTGTTATGCTCAAAGTTGTTAATGTTTACAGCTCATTTGTTATAAGACTTTCAATAATTATAATTAGGAAATGTGGATCCCTGTACATTTATTAATCCAGGTCTTTTTTCCCACTATCTTTATATCGTTAATTTTCTTAACATGTTCCCTATCAATTACTACGTGGTGAGCTAGCAGGAGTGCGTCATGCATGCAAACTTTGTCTAATAGTCAGTGGTAGTAGTGGTAGACAAAGAAACTAATGAACCAACACAAACCAATTAAAAAAGAGCAAGTAGTGCTGGCAAAAAGAAAAAACGCGAGTAGTAAAGCTTAATTACCACGCTAATAAAAATGAAGCGTCAAACACGAAAATTAGTGAATGATGGTACTTTTAGAAGATAATAAGCCTAGATTAATTATTAGTGGATGAAAAGGTTTAGAGTTTAGACGCGTCTATTTTACTTCAGAGCTATCTATTATATTGTCTGAATAAAAGGATCCAAGAAAAATAAGTGAAGGTAAATAGAATAGTCGTCGCAGAATATCAAAGGTGAAATCTAGGCCAATAAATAGCTACCGTTGAGGGCAATCCCTCCTACATACAGCAAACCATACATAGTGAGTTATCATGGAAACCTCATTCTCCCATAGCTCTATTGCCAATCTTTTGCTTCTATGTAATGCCACGAAAAAGAACGCCATCTTCTCTTAAACTTCAGACACACTCTTGTAGATCCCTCGACCATTCTCTCCGATTGGACCCGTGAGCGAGATTGCGGTGAATGGGCCGGAGTTCAGTGCGACAACACCACATGAGATTGTGAAAATGTGTGGTCGTACCGGACTCCTGTCATGGTATTGTTTGGATTTGGTAAGGAATGAACCCAGAAATCAAAGTGGACTGTTCCAAACAAAAAGAAATCAAAGTGGCCCAAGTTAGTAGAAAGTAAGGGCAAAAAAAACAAAGTTACGCCATGAGGGTGACTTTAGATTTAGGGCATTTGGATTCCTCCAAGAAAATTATTTTACATTTTACGAGATCAAACCCTTTTTTTCCTTGAAATATTTACTTTATATAATGTAAAATCATTTCAAAAAAAAAAACTTAAACCAAATACTCTTACATAAATATTTTGTGAATAACCTTTTCCGTAGGCTATAGTTCTTGAGACTGGACTTTCTTTTCTTTTTTTTTCTGTTTGTTGCTCTCCTTCACCATGATTCATTATTTCTATAATCCAATAGCTATATAAATTGTGTAGGACCATTGATTTTTTTTCCAAGTATATCATAGTATCATTTGCATCTAAAATAAGTGGAAGACTTTTCTATGTTGAATTGGTTTGCAGAGGGCAAAGCAAATTGACTTGACCCATCATCAAATAGGGGACCATTTGAGAGAGTCTCACTCATGACAATGTATTAATGGCTCAAATTTTATGGCTACCTCATCTTTGTTTTTGACACTCCTTACACGAAGAATATTGATCACCGTCATATTAATTTATTCAAATATAAGCCGTTTGTGTACGTGTGCGCTACAACTGGAATCATATAAATGAAGTATTGACAAGTTATGAAAAGACCATAATTCTTAAACTGAATGTCATGAATGAATGATGATCGAAAAGGTCATTATGACAAAAATATAAAATTCCAATATGGTGGAATCATTTTTCCATCCAGTGAAAGAGATCTTTGTGAGACTTTTCAATAATATATGGAATTTTTGAGGGGGGAAAAACAAATTTGTTGTCTATTTAGATTGAAATCAATTTTTCATTTATGCCATTTGAAAAAAAAAATTTACTCTTATATATAGTTGATGTCTTCATGAGTATCTTTGCTATTTTCTGCGTGTCTCAGAATTGACGCAACTTTTTTCAAGGGTTCGATACAGAAGATGGGGGGAAATTTTCTTTATACACACAAAAGCCCTAAGTGTATTTATATATACGCAGTAAGTTTAATTCTTTTCAAACTTTTAATCTCAACAATAAATAATTTTGTTGAAAAATTATAATCTAAACGATTGATATAAACTTTTGTCCCTCTGATTTGCTCTCCAAAAACCTTTGCCTTGGTCTTGCTGATCTACTTTTGGTTTGGGGAAAAAAAGTTGGAAGGAAAGAAGATAGGAGAAAGGAAGATGGAGAGAAACGGTTATGATCCTTATTGAAAGAAACAAAACTGGAAGGACACCCTAACCCTCATATCAAACTTTAAAATCAAATTAAATGTCACAATGAAAATTACAATAACATTTAAAAAAAACTTTAACATCATTAAATAATTTAAAATCAAAATATTTAATAAAAATAGTTTTTATTAACATAATTGCTGATCTACTTTTAAAGTATTCACTTCCTTTTATCTTCCCATGTCATAGGTTATAGACTAAGGAAATGTTTAAATGGAAACCAAATCATGATTACAAGTGATGACAATATACGAAGTGTGTATGTAAGAGGAGTTTTATTTCAACTTGCATAAAAACACTTTTTAAAAATGTTTTTTTAGTGAACCAAACATCCCAAGTCTTGATTTTCTCTCTCTGGCACACATTTGGTGAAACTTATAATTTTGTATTATGTCACTGCCAATTAGCGTATATATTGAAAATTTAAACCACAAAAAAAAAAGATTTTGTTCACAAAAATACAAAA